GGATGGAATGGATGGATAGATGGATAGATAGGTGAATAATGGATTCATGGATGGATGGATGGATGGATGGATGGATGGATGGAAAGATGGATGGACAGGTGAATAATGGATGGATGGAAGGATGGATGGAGAGATGGATGGGTGAATAATGGAAGGATGGAAAGATGGATGGATAGGTGAATAATGGATGGGTGGATGGATGGATGGATGGATGACTAGATCATGGATGGATGAATGGGTGAGTAAATGATTGATGGATGGATGAAGGGATGAATAGACAGATAACTGGGTAGATGATTTAGATGGTCTCCCTGCCTGGTTTGGGGTCGGGTTACCTGGATTTGAGTCTCAGGAATCCAAGGAGGGGTGTGACTGGGCTAGCCATCTGAGCTCATACCTCATTTCCTCAGGGAAACCCTCCCAGATTCTCAATCTGGGTCCACCTGCCACTTGTTCTGATAACATCACGCCTTCTCCTTCACAGTCCTCTGCATATCGATAATTGATGAACATTTTGTGATAGATGTTTGACATCCCCCTTTCCTGCTAGAACGTAAGTTCTGCAGAACAAACCAGTTTTGTCTTTTTTGTTTCCATGTAATTTCCTACCTAATGGCTGTTTATGACTAATTGATGGTAGTCCCTGACTGCCCCACTGGGAGCTCCACTCTGGACGCATGCAGTCTGTTCCTCTGACCCGAGGGCAGTGGTCAAGGGGCACCTTTTCCCTCAATGTCAAGCGATCGGAGATGGGTGAAATGCACAATGCAGCCAGATGACCGAACCAAGGTTTCTGGGGAGTACTTGATATCCTGGAAATGCTCGTAATGATCCTGGCAAAGCTGTGCACACCAGGGTCCCACTGCTGCCCAGGCATGGCAGAGCAGGACCCAAGGGAAGCCTGTGGTGCCCTCAGGGCTCATCGTGAGATCACCACCCCTCAGGACACTGCCTGTATCCCCACTACAGACCACCTAGGACCAGCCCCAATAATTAAGAGGCCATCAGGATGAAGGCTCTCTCACCATGCATCCTGTTGACCCCCGACCCCAACGAAGCTCAAGCATCCTGGCCACCACCTGGCTTTGCAAATTCTCCACAACAACCCCGTCCTCCACCCTCACTGGCCCCCCAGCCCTCCGCTGGCCCCCTGGGATTCAGCTGCCATCAACACCCTCTGCTGGCCCTTGGGACTCAGCTGCCCTCAACACCCTCCGCTGGCCCCTTGGGACTCAGCTGCCATCAACAACAGCCCCTCTTGTTTGCACACTTCCCTCATCCCCTTGCTCCAACAGAAACCCAAACCTCCGAATCACCGGAGAGAAACAGGTGCCGTGTGCTCAGCGAGGCTACGTAACCGGAAAGCCCCCAAGTGCCCATCAAAAGGGATGAGGTACTGCGAACTCTCGTGTGTCCTTCCTGTGCACTGCTCTGTTAGAAGGGGCAGACCCATTTGCACTTATGGGCGGGCCCAGGACACATCCTGGAGGAGAGACACTAGGCACAGCTATAGGCTGGTGCTGTTTGTGTAAAGGCACTAAGCCACGCCCCTGCCCCACGCTACGCACGCACGCAAATCCCGTGTCCCTCTCTGGGAAACACCACCCACACAGGTACACAGCAAAATGATGGCAGTGACCTCAGGGAACCAGGAAAGGAAGGAGAAACCCACAGCTGGTGTGAGGAAGGAGAGGACAGAAGACAGGAGCAGAAATCAACACACCCTCTCACCAGGGCCTCCCAGATGCCACTGACCCTTCTCCAGGGATGACATCCACGCTCAGTCTAGCAGTTTCTCCTCAGCACTGCTCTCTCCTTATTCTTGGTGATTCCCGAATCCTCTCAGGCGCTCCTGACTCCTGTCCTCTGGGGATCCACCTCCACAGACAGGGGTCCCCAGGCTGGGTCACAGGCGTAGCTGCAGCCTGGGGGCTCTGCCCCTCCCTGCCAGCCCTTCTCCCCCACGAGTGCTGGAAATCCCATCACGGACTGTGAGCATTTTCAACCTTTCCTTGGCGCTCACGGGAGATCATGGTGGTCGCCCCGGGCCTCCCCTCAAGTCCTGCCGTGTTTGCAGGGCTAACCCGCAACCGTGGAGAACCCTCCTCCCCGGCAGCGCACTGAGGCAAACCGCTCTGTCACCTGGTCTCCCTTCCACTTACGACTGTGCATCTCAAGGGGGCCCCTAACTCTGCTCTGCTGCCCACACCCTGCCGGGCCTCCCCGGATGCCAACCCTCAGCATAAGCCCAGGCCCCATTCAGCACCAGCCTGCCCATCTCTCCAGCCTCATCCCCGCCACACCTCCGCCCCCGCGCCACCACACCGGCCTGCTCTCTCCCCCAGGCCCTTTACACATGCTGTCCCCTCGGCCAGAAGGCTCAGCCCCCTGTCTGTGTGTGGCTCGTTCCTTCGCACGGCGAGACGCGGCCTCCTCAGAAAGGCCCTGATATGTGGCCGAGCTCACGTGGCCTCCTCCCCTCCAACTCCGACCCCACCCGGCTTCTCGGTCTCACACCTCCACCCGATCATTGCTGTCTCCCTCCCATGAGAGTGCACGCTGCTTGAGGACAGGGCCATCCGGACCTCACTGAGAAGGGCACCCTTTCCATCGCAGGCCCTCAACCGGTGCGTGAAGAGCATGACCCCCCCTGGTTTTGGGGTGCACGTGGGCGGTGGGTGTGTGTGGGGCACTGGGGGCACGTGCTCATCTCCTGAAGAGACCGGACAGAACCAGCTGCGGGCCTGTGGCTGAGTTCTGTTTTCCTCCCGTGCTTTGCCGTATTCAGCAAGTTGCGCGTCGTGAACACTTAGTACTATGATTTTATAATTCGCGGTATTTACACAAGCAACACGGGACATTGTTTTTATCAGAAAAATTCAAATAACAGGTCAAGACTGAAGACCCTCTTTGTCATCTGGTCTCCACCCCCCAAATCCCCGATCCCCACCCACAGAAAACCACGGCTGCCGTTTTGATGTGTGCCCTTCCGGATCGTTCCCTGCGGGGTTTTGTGCCGGAACGTGTATGTAGAGACACATGTGGGATTTCCGGTGGGTGAATGGGATCGGAGGGCTGCTACTCTTTCATGGCCACCCAGTGACGCACCCTCGAGGGGCCCGGCTGCACAGACTGGCCTAGCCACCCTCC